TTGGCAAGGGGCAGACCCATGACGAAATCCATTGCAATGGTGGATATGGGTTCAGCAGGTGCCTGGATGGGTTGGAGGAGGCCAGCAGGTTTCTGGTTATCGACCTGGTTCACCCGCAGGCGTGGCAGTGCTTGATATACGTCTCGATGGCACGCCTTTTATTTCTGAAGTGGACTCTATTTAGACCTGTAGTTATGCGCTGTCGGCCAAAGTGGTGTTTGTTGTCGTGTGCTTCCGCCAGGAAGGTTTTGATCATGCCAAAGGGCACAACGAGTCGCTCTGTACCCTCACTGTTTCTGTTGTACAAAAGACCGTTTGCCACTTTAAAGGGATGGCCCGGTTTGGAAGCATTAACGACGCCCTCGTTGTCCTTTCGGGGCTTGCATCCATTAACTGTGGCGAGCTCTCGGATCAGCCGACCATAGACTGTATCTTGTCCGTAGGCCTGGATGAGCTCGTTTTTTGTTTTGTCATCCATGACTGCCTTTGCTATGTTAAGAACACGGTCCGTGTCCACGTCCTGTGTCGGCATGCCGTTACCTGTCGCGTCTTTGTCCCAGAGGGCATCGAGGACGGGTTCCTCCCGAAAGGTACGCTGAGCCTCGTCGTCTGTTGTCGCGGCGAGTCGGGAAAGGGCGTCAGGACCAGGTTGAGGCGGCCTGGCAAATGGTGAACGTCGAGCGGGTAGACGCTGAGGTAGATGGATGCATTGATGAGACGTCTGTTGGCTCGGTCTGTCGAAACGGTGTTGAGGGCCGTTTTACGATGCCACAGGTGGAGTCGTGATCCATGAGAACGGTGATCGTTGTGCGAATGCGCATCTTTGCGTAGCTATATCCACCCAGCACAGCGTCATCAGTTGCGGTGGTGACTTGGCCTATCACCAGGTCATTCTCAATATAGTGACGAGGTTCCTTATCAGCGACGTGGTCGACATGATCAGCTAGCGCGTCACAAAAGACAGCGTGTGCGTAAAGCATGTTGCGGGAGTGAACCAGGATGTCGCAGCGCTTGCAAGTGCGGTTTTCCAGGTCAGGGCACGCCTTGCATGACACAATGTAAGCTCCTCGCGATACTTATCGTCACTGGAGACGCTTCGGTCAGCAAACGCTTCGGTCAGCAAACGCTTCGGTCAGCAAACGCTTCGTCTGGATTGGCGTCCCGGCGCTCGTCAGGGGAGCCCTCATGAACATTGTGATCTCGCTCCTTGTCCTTGTATTTGTCGGAGCTCTTGTACTTGTCAAAGCCCTTGTACTCGTCAGGAGATGCCTTGTCAGAAAATGAGCCGCCCTCATTGCGCTTGTCAGAAGGGCCGCTCTTCGGCTTGTTAGGGCTGCCCTTGTTGTATGAGGAACTCTTGTTCGAAAAAGATATGGTCTCTTTGTTCTTGTCTTCCTAGGAGCGGAGGCCGTGGCTGTTCTTTGGGCATTTGGGTACGTCTTGCGGGCCCGCGGCACCAGTGTTGTATTGGCTCGGTCCAAGTACTGCAGATACTCCGTGCGAGTATTCCCAACATTCCCGAACGTTGGCATTCCGAATGATGATGAGCCCCCGTGGCCCCTCAAACGCCTCGTCGCTGCGGATTGCCCATTTGACCGGGGACGCGGCTGCTATTACGGCCCGCTACGACGGAGCGACAAAACTTGCCAACTGCTTGCAAGCAAGCTGTTTGCTGCGCAATGCCGTCTGGTGCCGTGCTGTCTTTCCCGCCCCTCCTAGTTAGGGGTTCACCGCTTGCGCCACCCACCATCTGCCCCTGGTTCCTTCCTCCATCCCCACCGTGCCTAACCTTTTAAAAGGACCCCTAAAAGCCATGTGCCGTGTCCCTTTTGCGCCGCGACGCGCAGCTATAATGTGCAAACGATTTAGACATATCTGGTGCCGATCCTGAAGAGACGGTAGCGCTCTAGAGAAACTGGAAAGTTGATGTCAATCGGCGTCCTTGGCTGGGGGCAGAGGCAGAGATCCTATTTGTTATGGAGTGGCGCGCCTTGCAGGCGGCTGCTCCACTCTGGAGCGGGAGGACCACGTGACCCCCGAATCGCAAGCAGAAAACTGTGACGCGACGGCGGTGCTTCGCACCTTCGTCACTTTTTAACACTACTTTTAGATAGTCGCTTTTCATGTGTTAACTACCGCAGCTTGTCTCTTTGTTTCCCGTGATTCCGTAACACTATTAGTCTGTACATTGTTAGGGATCGACCATGGCAGAGAGACAGGGCTGCAATAAACGCGAGGTTGATAAAGTGAGGAATACAAGGAGGGGATTGGTGCGTTGCACCGGAGCCCTCGTGCAGGGTTTTCACCCAGGCAGCCGAGCACGGGCCTTATGGGCACGGGCCACGGCCCACAGGCATAGGCCCCCAGCCACCATAGCTCAGCGACTCCCAAGGCGCCACGCCACCACACTATTTAGGCTGCTATTTGAAGCTATTTACACTTTTATTTATTTTGCATTATTACTACCTTCGCCAGTCACACTATCCTTCAATTCCCGCAGTCCCTTCGA